TTTTTCGGCCGGCTGGAAGGCGGCGCAAACAAGAAGCAGTGGCTGTGGTCATTTTCCCGTCCCGCACTACCAGACCGCCTCAACCCAACCCGAAGACCCGAACTTCGGGTTTCGGCTCCACGCAAGAGTGGCCCTGGGTAAGGGTGACCTCTGGTGCGCGGCTTTTTGGGGGCCGCGGGGAGACCAAACCTGGGCGCGCAAGCCGCTGCTACCGCTTCGTTTTCAGCCATCTGGGGACCCATCTGTGTCCGCACCAAAGGTCACTCCGGCGAAAGGTCACTCTTACGTCTAGTCGAAGGTACGGGGGGGGGCACGGGTTCCAGAGGTGCTTTTGTCAGTGTTCCCCGGCCTCCCCCCGCCCACGGGAACTGGAGGGCAGACCAGGGCCTTCGGGCTGGGTTGGGTGAGCTGGTGGGCGGTGAGAAGCGGCAGGGCCGTTGTTTTCACCGCGTCTCGGAAAAAAGCATCTGGGCCGTGGGAGTGGTAGCACGACACGGAGACCAGAAGAGCAGGCCCCCCCAAAAAAACGTCCAGGACTGTAGCCGCAACGGGAGCCAGAAGGAAACAGATCAACGACGGAACGGGGGGGGGGAGAAAAAAAACGGCGACGGAACCGGCAAGAGAACAGCGAAACGGAAACGGTGAAAAAACGGCCCTGTCGTTTCCAGGGCCCACTAAGCGCTGGGGCATCGCTGAATGGGGGCAATGAACGAGGGAGGGGAGACGGGCGCACCGTTCGCTCCCTAGAGGCCCCCATTTGGGCTCTCTGGGTGCCCTCAAGGGCCCTGTTCTGCAGCCCTCGCTGCCCCAAATTTGGGCTCTCTGGGTGCTCTCAAGGGTCCTGTTCTGCAGCCCTCGCTGCACCAAATTTGTAGAGGCCGCGTAGATGGGATAAGAGTAGGTGGGGTCGAAGGATCTCGCCGCATCGCCGGTACATCGGCGATACATCGGCGATGCACCAGCGATGCATCGTCGACGTCGGCGATGCATCGGAGCTGTCGCCGTGAAGAAGATCGGACTCGGCATCGAGCCGCATCGCCGATGCATCGGCGATACCAAGGGATCCTCCGACGCCGTCCACTCGGAGGAGGAGGAGGAGGATGCGGATGCGGATGCGGATGCGGATGAGGAGGAGGAGGAGGAAGAAGAGGATGCGGAGGAGGAGGAGGAGGAGGTGCAAAATCTAGACATTGTCGCCCCCCACCCCCTCGGCGACGCCCAGTGGGCGGCCTCGCAGCCGCGGCAGGCTCACGGCTGCCGGAGTCGCTGCACCGCCTGGCGGCAGGCGGCGGGAGGGGGCCCTCCCGGGCCTCCCCAAAGCCGTGCAAGGATCACGACGAGGGGGTGCTTCGCTATCTTCAAGGGGCCGAAGGACACACAAATGAATGCGCACGAATCCCAGGAGTTCCCAGACATTTCCCAGATCTTCTGGACTTTCGTCTTCCCCCCCCCACACTTCCCATCTTTTCCCCTACTCTTCTGGGGGTCGACGATCAACTGTGTCTGTGTGTTCCTTTCCCTCCTGCTATCTACGGCCTCCGGGGGACCGTACTTGCCAAGGGCGCCTCACTGCGCGCTGCGCGCAGGGCGAAGTGCGAAGGACTTCGCGCTACCGCGCCGGGCCCCCCAGTGGATATAAGATTGTGGATGCCATGACAATGGGCACTCTTGCAATCCGACCATTGAATTAAAGATGTGCTTAAAATGTGCAAAACATGTTCTAAAAATGCTTCAGACATGCGTTTAACAGATTGAAAAAGTTAGTTGGAACATCTTTTAGACATCTGGAAATAATTTGGCAGCATGCGTCCTCTCCATTGATCGACTTCCACAAATATAAGAGGAGGAAGAGGGGAAGTGGAGCCGACCCGCGCAGCGCGCAGCGCGAAGAACTTCGCGCCCTCGAGGGCGCCCTTGCTTACCAGGCCTCGGGACCGGGGGACGAAGAGGAAGCGCGAGGCGCGAACAACTTCGCGCCCTCGAGGGCGCCCCTGGTTACCAGTTGGCGGCGCGCAGAGGGGGGCAGGGGGAGGGGGAAGGCTTCTTAAAGCACCCCTGCTTCTTGGAAGGCGCGGGCCTTCCATCTGCAGACAAGGCCCAAGCCTTCCAAGAAGCAGGGGTGCTTCTTAGAAGCCTTCCCCCCTCCCCCTGCCCCCCTCTGCGCGTGGCCGAACCAGGCCTCGGGACCGTCAAAAAACGACTCGGGACGAAAGACCGGTCCTGGCGAAGGGGTCCAGACTCTCTGCAGGTCGACGCCGTGAAAAGATCGCGATGCCGGGGCTCGGCACCCACACGTCAGGCTGCTCCAGCTCTTTCGATGCGTGGGCCCCGGAGGTCTGGACCACGTCCCTGGGGCCGGTGCTTCGTCCCGAGCCTGGAGTCGCTCGGACGTCCCTGCCCCGGGCATGCGTTTGCTCCGCGCGCGCTTCTTCGACTCGATGCTCAGGGAGGCTCCTCGGCGGTCCTCGCCGAGAACACCTGCACACGTCCAAGCGCTGCCCAGGGATCGGCGGCGACGATAGGGGCGAATGGCCCAGGGGCCAGCACTGCACGTCTTCGCCCGTGAGCCTTGTCGGAAACATAGATCGTCGGCCCCCCTGAATACATGTACTGCCCTCCCCCCCTGCTATTCGCCCCGATCGTCGCCTCCGAAGGGAGTCGCGCCTCGACGGCCACCGGGCACCCGACGGAGGGCCCTCCGGCGGCCGCAGACTGCCGAAAGACCAGCCGCGGCCGACCCTTTCCTGGGGCGTCGGATAGATCTCTCTGGGCAAGCGGCGGGAGGGGGACAGAGGCCTCCCAGATTTCGGTCGGGCATGTCTCCCTACAGGCGGACTCTGGACAAAAAACAATTATCCTGGCGAAGGGCCCAACCATACGCAATTCCGAATGCCGCCGTTGTAAGTATCGTCGTTGGTGGAACACCCGATGGGGCCACGAAGCGTGTGAGAGGTGCGCCAAATGGAGGTGGAACTGCATGCGGACCCTGCCACTGGGGCCTTCGGTGGAGCACCCTGTGGGGCCGCGAAACGTTTGAGGGATGCGCCGAAATGGAGGTGGAACTGCATGCGGACCCTGCCATTGGCGCCCTCGGTGGAGCTCCCTATGGGGCCGCGAAACGTGTGAGGGGTGCGCCGAAATGGAGGTGGAACCGCATGCGGACCCTGCCACTTGGGCCTTAGGCGGAGCTCTCTATGGGGCCACGAAACGTGTGAGGGGTGTGCCGAAATGGAGGTGGAACTGCATGCGGACCGTGCCACTTGGGCCTAAGGCGGGGCTCCCTATGACGCCACGAAACGTGTGAGGGGTGCGCCGAAATGGAAGTGGAACTGCATGCGGACCCTGCCACTTAGGCCTTAGGCGGAGCTCCCTATGGGGCCACGAAACGTGTGAGGGGTGCGCCGAAATGGAGGTGGAACTGCATGCGGACCCTGCCACTGGGGCCTCAGGCGGAGCTCCCTATGGGGCCACGAAGCGTGTGAGGGGTGCGCCGAAATGGAGGTGGAACCGCATGCGGACCCTGACACTTGGGCCTTCGGTGGAGCTCCCTATGGGGCCACGAAACGTGGGAGGGGTGCGCCGAAATGGAGGTGGAACCGCATGCGGACCCTGACACTTGGGCCTTCGGTGGAGCTCCCTATGGGGCCACGGAACGTGTGAGGGGGCTCGAAATGGAGGTGGAACGCTGCGGACCCTGAAACTTGGGCCTCGGTGGAGCTCCCTATGGGGCCACGAAACCCGGGGTTTTTTGTATGTTAGGGGTGCGCCGAAATGGAGGTGGAAACCGAATGCGGACCTGACACTTGGGCCTTCGGTGGAGCTCCCTATGGGGCCACGAAACGTGTGAGGGGTGCGCCGAAATGGAGGTGGAACCGCATGCGGACCCTGACACCTGGGCCTTCGGTGGAGCTCCCCATGGGGCCACGAAACGTGTGAGGGGTGCGCCGAAATGGAGGTGGAACCGCATGCGGACCCTGACACTTGGGCCTTCGGTGGAGCTCCCTATGGGGCCACGAAACGTGTGAGGGGTGCGCCGAAATGGAGGTGGAATCGCATGCGGACCCTGACACTTGGGCCTTCGGTGGAGCTCCCTATGGGGCCACGAAACGTGTGAGGGGTGCGCCGAAATGGAGGTGGAACCGCATGCGGACCCTGACACTTGGGCCTTCGGTGGAGCTCCCTATGGGGCCACGAAACGTGTGAGGGGTGCGCCGAAATGGAGGTGGAACCGCATGCGGACCCTGCCACTGGGGCCTTCGGTGGAGCTCACTATGGGTCCACGAAACGTGTGGCCATGATGGAGACGGCGATGATGATGACGACGATGGTGATAAGAACGATGATGATGATGCTGATGATGACGGTGACGATGACGATGATGATGATGATGATGCTGATGATGAGAGGAGGAGGAGGAGGAGGAGGAGGAGGAGGAGGAGGAGGAGGAGGAGGAGGAGGAGGAGGAGGAGGAGGAGGAGGGGGAAGAGGAGGAGAGGAGAGGACGCGGGCACCGTCTCTTCAAAACGAGGACCCAACACCACAGGATGGTTGGGAAATATAAGATACCCTCGAAAAAAAATCAAAAATTATCAGATACTCAAGAATCGCCCCCATACTATGTTTTGCCTGTTTTGGAAGATTCCCCCTGTAGAGGGACAGGCCCGGCTTAATCCTAGATGGGGTCCGAGCAGCTGGGGTCGGAGGGTCACGCCGCCCCGGCGACGCAGCGGCGATACATCGGCGATGCATCGGCCAAGCACTGCCGACGTCGGCGATGCATCCGCGACGTCGGCGTGGAGAAAATCGGGCCCCGCATCGCGCCGCATCGCCGATGCATCGCCGACGCATCGCCGATGCGGTGCGATCCTCCGACCCCATCTGCTCCGACCCCATCTAGGGAGTCCAATGGCATTATGCGAAGTGTCTAAGCCTTCACGGAAGACACAAAAAAAACTCTCAAAGGCGCAAGGGCTTCTGAGAAGTCCCGCCGCCTTCGTCTTTTTTTTTCTACCACGACACGCAGCGGGCCATGCAACGCAGCGTGGTGTCTCATGTATCAAGGCGGTGCCCAACGGCAGCAGTTCACGTATTGAAAGATGCGCAAAAACGCGCCTGTGGATCCGTGCTGGCTGCACTACCCGTTCCTGTAGACGAGCCGCTTATGGACCGAACTATTTGGAATGAGAAGCACAGAAATCCAGTAGGATCATCTACTGTGTTGGCTCTGTCGCTGATTGTGAAGTCATGTTTCCCCACTCGTGTTTCCCTGACCCCAAAAAACTTGTTCTCGGTCACAGGCCCAAAAACAAAACACCAAACTAATGTATATGTGTCTATGACCTTGTGTGTGTCTGCTGAACGCCCAAAGAAGTCGCAGGCACTACTTGCCCCCGCGCAGGCGCAGCACGAGGTGCAGCGTGGACTCTTTCTGGATGTTATAGTCAGACAGCGTGCGCCCGTCCTCCAGCTGCTTCCCCGCGAAGATCAGGCGCTGCTGGTCCGGAGGGATGCCCTCCTTGTCCTGGATCTTCGCCTTCACGTTGTCAATTGTGTCAGAGGCTTCCACATCCAGGGTGATGGTCTTGCCAGTCAGCGTCTTCACGAATATCTGCATGCCTCCACGCAGGCGCAGCACGAGGTGCAGCGTGGACTCTTTCTGGATGTTATAATCAGACAGCGTGCGCCCGTCCTCCAGCTGCTTCCCCGCGAAGATCAGGCGCTGCTGGTCGGAGGGATGCCCGCCTTGTCCTGGATCTTCGCATTGACGTTGTCGATTGTGCAGAAGGCTTCCACATCCAGGGTGATAGTCTTGGCCCGTCAGCGTCTCACGACGATTGCATCGCCTCTCGCAGGCGCAGCACGAGGTGCAGCGTCGACTCTTTCTGGATGTTATAATCAGACAGCGTCCGCCCGTCCTCCAGCTGCTTCCCCGCGAAGATCAAGCGCTGCTGGTCTGGAGGGATGCCCTCCTTGTCCTGGATCTTCGCCTTCACGTTGTCAATAGTGTCAGAGGCTTCCACATCCAGGCAGTGAGGTCCTGCCCGTCAGCGTCTTCACGAAGTGCATGCCCCCGCGCAAGCGCAGCACGAGGTGAAGCGTGGACTCCTCCTGGATGTTATAGTCAGACAGCGTGCGCCCGTCCTCCAGCTGCTTCCCCGCGAAGATCAGGCGCTGCTGGTCCGGAGGAATGCCCTCCTTGTCCTGGATCTTGGCCTTGACTTGTCGATTGTGTCAGAAGCTTCCACATCCAGGGTGATGGTCTTGCCCGTCAGCGTCTTCACGAAGATCTGCATGCCGCCGCGCAGGCGCAGCACGAGGTGCAACGTGGACTCTTTCTGGATGTTATAATCAGACAACGTGCGCCCGTCCTCCAGCTGCTTCCCCACGAAGATCAGGCGCTGCTGGTCCAGAGGGATGCCTTCCTTGTCCTGGACCTTGGCCTTGACGTTGTCAATTGTGTCTGAAGCTTCCACATCCAGGGTGATGGTCTTGCCCGTCAGCGTCTTCACGAAGATCTGCATGCCTCCGCGCAGGCGCAGCACGAGGTGCAGCGTGGACTCTTTCTGGATGTTATAGTCAGACAGCGTGCGCCCGTCCTCCAGCTGCTTCCCCGCGAAGATCAGGCGCTGCTGGTCCGGAGGGATGCCCTCCTTATCCTGGATCTTCGCCTTGACGTTGTCGATTGTGTCAGAGGCTTCCACATCCAGGGTGATAGTCTTGCCCGTCAGCGTCTTCACAAAGATCTGCATGCCTCCGCGCAGGCGCAGCACGAGGTGCAGCGTGGACTCTTTCTGGATGTTATAGTCAGACAGCGTGCGCCCGTCCTCCAGCTGCTTCCCCGCGAAGATCAGGCGCTGCTGGTCCGGAGGGATGCCCTCCTTGTCCTGGATCTTCGCCTTGACGTTGTCGATTGTGTCAGAGGCTTCCACATCCAGGGTGATGGTCTTGCCCGTCAGCGTCTTCACGAAGATCTGCATGGTGCCTTGGTCTCGAATTGAGCAATGATGTGAGGTCGACTGTTGTGAGACTCAAACGACCTTTAGCCAAAATGGCTACGGAGAAACCTCGCCGCAGATGGTTGGAGCGCCGGACATCTCTTGGCAGGCGGCCAGCAACGCATCGCAGAGGCTCGCCATCGCTCGGACGCCCAATTTCCTCGTGCACTTCTTTTTCTGCTTCGTGCGTTTATTTTTCAAGCGATGATCAAGGATGCTGCTCGATGGTCCTCGCCGACGGAGAGAGAGAGAGAGAGAACAAAAAACGAAAAAATACCTGCATGACGATAACATGTTGGCGCCCCGCGCGGAGCGCGCCAGGGGCGGCACCGCAGGTGCTACTACTACTACTACTACTACTCATACGTTTACTACTACTACTATTACTACTACTACTACTACTACTAATAATAATAATAATCATAATAATAAAAAATAATATTACTACTACTACTACTACTACTACTACTACTACTACTACTACTGCTGCTACTACTACTACTACTACTACTACTACTACTACTACTACTACTACCACTACCACTACTACTACGACGACTACTACTACTACTACTACTACTACTACTACTACGACTACGACTACTACTACTACTACTACTA